CCCCCCCCCCCCCCCCCCCCAAAAAAAAAATACAAAAAAAAACTATTCAACATCAGAAAAATATATATTTCCCTTTGTTTTATATGTTGTACTTTCAAGGAGAAAAGTTTACTATGATAAAGAAGTATACAAAAGTATAAAAAAAGTATAAAAAAGTATAATAAAGTATTAGAAAGGATAAAATTTTTACAATATTATAAAGGTACAGCAACTGACTGTCAGGAATCACCAGAAGTGGACAAAGATCGACAAGTTTTCAACTTTCAACTAGCTTCAACAAATTTCGTTGACCTCCCCACAAAATAAAAAATCCTTACAGCCCCCAACACATAAATTATGAACGCTTCCTTAGAACAACCTGATACTCAGGGTTTTCACTCCCCCCGAAACCCGCCGTGGCACCCAGATTTTGGGTACTAAATTATGCGACTCAGGGAGGGTAGGTCATTATCACACGGCAAAACCATCAAAATACGTTCATGTATAAAACGTAAAGTATGTGCTGAAAGACTCTAAAATATGATTTGCTTTTTTTGTTTGGATTTAATACTATACAGGTAAAATTCCGCCTGCAACGCTATTACATAAAGTGCCGGAAAATGTAAAATTGGTAGTTTATTAATTGCAGCTTTCGAAAGAGCGAAACCTGCGACAGCACAGCAAGACAGCACTCGTCACGATTGAATCCCGTTTTACTGTTCACGATTGAATCCCGTTTTACTCGTGTGGTTGCCATGCAGCACACTCTGAACGACAATATTTTAAACTAGCAAGATTTTCACACCGATCTTCTTTGGACATAGCTTATAATTCGTAAACAAATGTAAAATAAATTACTCCAATAAACAAAAAAAAAACATCTGCAAGAAAAACTATATTAATTAGCTAACCATTAGTTGCGGTGGTTTGCAAGTGTTCATTATAATGCGTGTATATATACTGATGTTTCGTGAAGCGTGCACACTCAATTACGAACTCAATTAAATTAAATCTCGACTGTAAACTGAAACAGTGAAATGGAATTGACAACAAACGCGAAACCGCAAGTAGTGGCTGCACATAAAAGTCCAGAAACGTTCAATACACCTAAACATTCTAAAATATTGCATTCAGACACTTCACTTTGACAGCCTTCTCTACCCTTCTATAACTATGACTTGCGTTTTGCGACAAGCATTATTTAGAACCCCAAAAGGTGTGGCAATTTGAGATACATAAATCAAAGTGACAATTATAATACCCGTAAATCCAGCACATTTAGCCTACCTTATTGCAAGACAAATACTCTATTTTCCGTTAATTATCAAAATTTTAGTTCAATACATTGAATCCCGATATATGTAATATGAATCCCGATATAAGTTAAGGTCGTTTCTTTTTTCTCGTTACATATAATTTCAATATTTATTAATTTGACTCATTCCATTATTCGAATGCAAAAACCAATAACCATGTTATGTGCAAAAACCAATAACCATGAAAATGATTATACAATACAACAACCGATACCAACCATTGCGCAACCGAGAAAAAAGAAATATCCTGTTACATCACGTGTTCCCAATTACAAGGCATTAATTCCACTTAATTTAACATCCACAAGAAAAGTTCCTTCGAGAGAGTCGGGTTTTGCTGTTCCTAAGTTTATGTTTATCAACATATGTAGTCTGGCAAAAACAAAAAATCGAGTACGAGCTGTAGTTGCACTGGAGGCAGACTTGGTCAATAACGATATAGATGTATGTGTGGTGAGCGAGAGTCACCTGAAACCTGAAATGCCAGATGCTGTGGTGACCATTCACAATTATTCAATATTTAGAAGAGAGAGAAGTTGGGAAGGACGCGATATGAGAGCAAAAGGAGGGGTAGCAATATATGTTCGGAACAACTTAAAAGTTATTGATATTTATCGATCCAGTTTGTACGAACTTATTGGTGTCACACTTCTGTTACCTACAGGAAACCGTATGTCGATATACGGCCTTTATCACCCACCTAGGCACAATTATCTGGAGAGTGACTTATTGGATTATTTGATAAATATTTCTGACGACGTTCTGGACAAATATCCAGACACTGTAATTGTTTGTGGAGGGGATTTGAACAGTTTGGACATAAAACACCTTGAGGAACTATCAGGATGGGATGCAATGGTCGACTTTTCAACAAGGGGTAACACATGTTTGGATAACTGCCTTACAAATAGAATAGATTTGTTCTCAAAATGTTATCCTTTCCACATGTTAACTAAAACAGACCACATGGGGGTTATTTTACCAGCAGGGACGAAACTAAAACCTATGCGCCGAAAGGTTGAATTTCGGGATTGTAGAAAGCATCGAAAGGAAGATTTCCACAAAGCTTTAGCAGAAGAAGATTGGGAGGATGTATCGAAGTCCACGAATGTAAATGACGCTGTGAATTGTCTTGAACGTAAGATCATGGATCATATGAATAAATGTATGCCCACAAAAACAGTCTCAATTTCGTCACGTGACCCTTACTGGATGAGTCCTTTAATTAAATCTTTGCTAAAATCTAAATCCAGAATTGCTCGGTCGCAAAAGGATAGACTCAGTTTAATTAACAAAAGGATTTCTGATGTCATTTGTCAAAACAGAAGAAATTTTAGGGCCATGGTGGGAAGTAGAACTTGGTGGAGAAAGACGAATGATATTTCTCAGCGAAATGCATCGTCATCAAGAGTTACTTTAGATAATGCATCACTTACAAGATTAAATCGCTACTTTGGCGAACTCTGCCACGATGATAGTTATGTCGAACCGACGCTCTCAATTATTGGTGATGAAGTAGATATTCCTAGCTTTACGGAACAGCAGGTATGGAATGCCTTGAAAAGAATAAAGAGGACGGCAACAGGTCCCGATTATATTTCCCTATTGGGTTGATTAATGTCCAATACCTCTGCAAGATGTCCAATGGACATATTGAAATGTCCAGTGGACATTTGATTTGTCCATTGGATCCAATGGACAGGCATAAGTCCACTGGACATTTGGTTGTGCATTAAGTAAGTTATTTGGAATGACGTCATATATGGGCATCAACCCCATGCAGGTAGCAGGCCTGTGAGATGGTAAAGGCAGTATGTCCAATGGTCCATTGGATCCAATGGATCCATTGGACATGCATATGTCCATTGGACATTTCAGTTGTCCATTGGATCCAATGGACATAGAGATGTCCACTGGACATTTAATTTGTCCATTGGATCCAATGAACAGGCATAAGTCCACTGGACATTTGGTTGTGCATTAAGTAAGTTATTTGGAATGACGTCATATATGGGCATCAACCCCATGCAGGTAGCAGGCCTGTGAGATGGCAAAGGCAGTATGTCCAATGGTCCATTGGATCCAATGGATCCATTGGACATGCATATGTCCATTGGACATTTCAGTTGTCCATTGGATCCAATGGACAAGCACATGTCCACTGGACATTTCATTTGTCCATTGGATCCAATGGACAAGAATACGTCCAGTGGACATTTGGTTGTGCATTAAGTAAGTTATTTGGAATGACGTCATATATGGGCATCAACCCCATGCAGGTAGCAGGCCTGTGAGATGGCAAAGGCAGTATGTCCAATGGTCCATTGGATCCAATGGATCCATTGGACATTCATATGTCCATTGGACATTTCAGTTGTCCATTGGATCCAATGGACAAGAATACGTCCAGTGGACATTTGGTTGTGCATTAAGTAAGTTATTTGGAATGACGTCATATATGGGCATCAACCCCATGCGGGTAGCAGGCCTGTGAGATGGCAAAGGCAGTATGTCCAATGGTCGATTGGATCCAATGGATCCATTGGACATGCATATGTCCATTGGACATTTCAGTTGTCCATTGGATCCAATGGACATAGAGATGTCCACTGGACATTTAATTTGTCCATTGGATCCAATGAACAGGCATAAGTCCACTGGACATTTGGTTGTGCATTAAGTAAGTTATTTGGAATGGCGTCATATGTGAGCATGGACCCCATGCAGGTAGCAGACCTGTGAGATGGCAATGTGAGAATGTCCAATGGTCCATTGGATCCAATGGATCCATTGGACATGCATATGTCCATTGGACATTTCAGTTGTCCATTGGATCCAATGGACATAGATATGTCCAGTGGACATTTGATTTTGTCCATTGGATGCAATGGATTACGCATTTGTCCAATGGACGTTTGAATTGTCTGTTGGATGTATAATTGTCAAGCATATATGCAATGTGTAAATTATTTGTTTGGCATTTGATATTTACAGTTTACTGGGCCTATTAAGTACTAGTTAAAACATGAGCAGTCGATCTTTATCTCATATACAAGTGCTTAAATAACGACCCATCTTATCTTATGAGTTCATTGACGAAGTAATTTTAAAAATAAACATTGTCTAAGGCGCGAGAATCAAAGGTAAAGTTTATGTAAATTAGGACCGAGTCTTTATCTGATTTACAAAGATTGATTAAACATTCACTTATTTTTTAATGAAATATAATATATTGAATATACAATAATCAGTGGGTTTGTTTTGACAATTCTCTATGCGACTATAAACATACGCGTTTATTTAAAACTATTTCAGGACTGGTGTTTCTTTAGTAAGGAATCGTCTGAGAAGCGAAATACTTTTAAGCGCGTCGGTTGCCAGTTACGTTAATCGCGATTATGAAAAGTGTAGC